CAGACTGAAAGGGTTTTGTTAAACTGTTTCAATTTACCAGGTTCGGGTTAAGTTAATATGTGTTGAAATTCGTTTTATGTAGTATTTGTTTTATATTTGGTAGTGATAGCGTAAACTCTTTGACTTTAAAAATTTTGCATTTACTCTTCAAATCCCAGGAAACTGGTACGAACCCGAGGATAAAAATATTAAAACGTCCCCGCCCGGTTACACGTTACATTATGTTGCTGATCATTTTTGTTGTTTATAGTTTCCCTCCATATATTCTAGTTTTTAAGACAATTGCCAAAAAATGGGTAAGATCAGTTATTTAAAGGCAAAGGCAATAACAATCATATAAGGAGCCGCTTTACAATTTTGTTCATGTTGACTTATTTGCAGATTTTATCTTGCAGATCATTTTTACTGTTTACAGTTTGACTAGCTTTTATACTTTTCAAGAAAATAGCCAAGAATACAAAGCATTGGCATAACTTGTCATTTAAGCGCAATTACTCCTTTAAGGATTTGATATACAACTTCTGTCATGTTGATTCTGAGGATTATTCAGCTTAAATGTTAAATAGTTTAAATTGGTCTTGTGGTTTCAAAGGTGAAGATTTTAGAAAATCTGGATGATGATTGATGCCAATGACTTCGTAGACTTCAGCTTTTCTTGATAACCTTGGAAAACAGCATACATTAACATAATTAGTAAAATAAAAATTACAGATATATGGGTCATTTTCAAAAAATGTCGAATTTTGAAATTGCAAAATTGATTTAAAGTTACTTATTCAAACAACCCTCGTCATAAGCAAATCAAAACAAACAGTACTTATAGAATAACATATAAAAAGATGCAATCTTGATAATGTAATACAAGAATATTTTGAAACATTTTTTGATAGGTGGTGCAATATTTTGTCTCTCCTGTTACCATGTTCAAAAGAAATTTCGGGTTATTTAGAAAAGGTTTCGATAAAATTTTAAGCTTGTTTTTCGTAGCCAATAAGATGGTTTTCAAGAGTAAAAACTTCTATATATATTCATTCTGTGAAATAATAGATTGTTTGCCAATTTTCCATGTTGTACTGAAAAATGCCTCTAAAAATTGGTTTTCAAAGGTTATAAAAGTAACCACCGGTAATGCAAGTCTAAGATAGCAATTTATTTTGTTCAGCATTTTTTCTATCTTTCAAATAAACCCAACATCAAGTAAATCCCTCGCATGTTGGTTTACTTTTGTCTTTATTTTATTGGTAACAGGAACGCACGTTAATGATATATCACTATATTAAGTTCTTTCCTGTTACCCTTTTTGTCTATCCTGTTACCGTTAGCAGTATTGCACCTGCAAATGCTACATTGTAAAGATTAAGACGTTATAGCCTTGAGATGAGTTCAAACAACGAAACATTTCATTATGTGTGCAACGATATGTTATTATAAACTTTTTAAAGACTTTCCTGTCTACAATTGTCTATCCTGTTACTGTAACCATAGCAACCATAGTAACAGGATAGACATAACAGGATAGACAAATTTCTTCATTTTTGAATGCTGTTGTGAAATAACTACTCCCTTTGATGAAGTGATAATGTTTTTCTGTTTTGATTTTGGTTTACAACACTTTATTGCACTTTTTACAAGTATAATACTGGTGTAATTAATCAATATGTTGGTAACAGCATAGACATGACAAAAAAGTACCCACAATTTTTTTTCACTAAATGTTTTGAAAATTCTTTTCTCTACACTGTTATGCAAGAAATGTGCTGTGTTAAATGTTTAGTTTACTTTGCGCTTTTTAAATCAACATTCACTGACTAGTTCAATAATCACAGGGAGAACAATTTAACGGCTGATTTAAGTAGCTGTATTAGGATCGACATGAACTTCATGTACGCTGATTGAATTTAGTTTGTAGAAAAAATGTTACATATAATAATAAAGAAGCTACGATTTTTCGTTATAGTTATTATTAACGTTCTAAAAAAGCCCCTTTTGCAGATATCAAGGCGATCAGAAAATAGGAAAAAAAATCATTTGAAATGTGTTACTCTGACACTGTACGCACATAAATTACGCAAAAATAGGACTTAAATATATTTTAATCTTATCAAAATAGATCTAAATCGTGTTTATTATTAATGTCCTGACTCATAAATCCTACAAACTTTCATTTAAACACTTACAGGGAAAACGGTACTATTACATTTTCCCAGCATTAGGTTGGCCTTTAGTGTACCCAAGGCAGGTGATGGAAGTCAACTTAGGAGCGCTGTGATTGGATGTTAGGGGACAACATATTTTTTTATTTATCTATGAATAACTGCAGTGTGTATATTTACAATATAAATTTTGAAACCTATTGAAATATTTTCTAGAGAATTATTCGAAAAGACTTCAAAAATTTCATAAATTTGGTGTAAAATGACGGTGGGCATGGATAACATTAACAAGCTCCGTTGGAAGTTGGTCATGATACTATTTGGCTTCAATTTTTAAAACAGAATAATAAAGTACTAACACCACACATAACTGTTTTATCCGGGTTTTTATTATAAAAAGTGGGAAATTTAGAAAATGTTAGTATTGGCGCCTATGGCAGAATAAATAGTACCGTTTTCCCTATACTGAAGATAGCAAGGGAAATCAAAATCAATCAGACTTCAGTTAAAGTATACTATTTTGAAGCTTTTGGTTAGTACATTTGATTTTTATCACAAAGAATAGAATTTTTTCACTGAGAACAATACTGTGTTGAGAAAAGTGCTAAGTCATCATAATAAGTCAAACTGATGGGTACTGATATAAAACTTTATTCTAGGATTTCAATATTAACTATATTGTATAAAATGCACCAAACTATAGTTCTTTTGTATTTTTTTTCACCTTTCGCAATGATTAATTCAATTGGAAACACCAGAATTCAAGTTGCGACAAATATTTTTAACTGAAATATTTGCCTTTTTTGCTGTGTAATTCCCTAAATGTATCACTTGGGTATTTCTGTAGACATAATCTATTAAAATGGGAAATTGTCTGGTTAAGTTTGTACTGTTTATGGAGTAAGGCAATATTTGGTCATACTAGAAGCATTTTCAGTGTTAAAATTGTCCATCTAAGGAAAAAAGAGGCCCACTTGAGGCTAAATTTAGATAGAATTTATACTCTCCTGTGTAAAGAATTGGTCCCATTCTTGGCAATTCATGCAGCAAATATTTCAATAGTGCTTCATTTTGTAGTTTCTATCTTTTATTATATCAGGCATATATAATTTTATCATTTTCTACTGTTTGAAAGGACTTTTGTTGGAAATTAATACTCCCAAGGGACATAATTCAGCTTTTTCATAGATTCATACAGGCAACAAAGGCAGCTGAGTATTTTGCATATTTAATGTTTAAAGTGTCTAATATCTTTGTTTTCATCATCTCAAGACAGAATAATGGATTTTATAACAAGCTCTGAAATTTTGAACCACAATATGGCATATACTAAAGCATGGAATGGAGATTAGTATGAAAAATCTTGAATTTGTGCTCATGTTGTAAATTTTGGATAAATTGAATGGAACTGTCATTTTTACCTGTTTGAATGGTACTGTTTATTATTCTTTTTAAATAAGATAAGATATAATTGGATACAGGTAGTTTATTAAGCTTTATCTGAAAGAAGTACAGAAAGAGGTAAACCAGCATATAGGGGTGGGGACATGAAATGATCCATGTTTCTTTAAGTAATGGGAACATACAAGTATTTATTATAGCCAAGGTTTTCACAATAACCCAGTATTGCATTAATGGTGTCATAAGAATTCTTTATATCTTTATGTCACAGTACAACTGCAATTTCCATGAGAAATAAAAATTTTAGCATGGGTGTACTGAAAATTCGACATTTTTTGAAAATTACCCATATGTAAAATAGCAGACCAATAGTTCTAGAATTTTAATTAAGTCAGGAAATTGTGATGCAAGAATGCAACTAAAAAGAATTTTCATTCAAATGAACAAATTAAAGTAATCTTAGCCACATTTCTTATGTTATTATCATTCATATTTTTACAAAAGTAGAATGGTTTTGCTTGATTTCAAATTTTTAAAATACTTTCATGTATTAAGGGGAGGTAAGTCAGAAAAAAGTATAATTCATAAAGGAATCTTCATGAAATTTTTCTATTCTTTGTTATAGAAGGAAAAAAAGGTACAGTAACATAATTTTTTCTTTTGATATTCAGAAAACATTTTATAAGAGCTATCTTCTCATATTTTGTTTTAAAATTCTATCATTTAGTTTACCTTCTATTCACATTATGATGTTTTTTCTCTGTATAATCAATACAAAATGTGACCTATCATTTTTGTTATATTTTGGAACATATCAATATATACTACATTTTGGCAAAGTATGAACATTTTATTATCTTTTTTTTTATACTACTATACCACCTTAATGCATTTTACCCCTTTTTAGCAATGGCAGCAATTTTTGTTTACTGACAGAAATAAATAAAATGCTCGGCAGGGCGTAGCTTGATACGACGGCAGAGGTCGAATCCTGAACAGTTGGGGCAAGTATGGACACAACATTCAAGCTTGATACAGCACTGAATTTGGATTGTGATTAAATATTTGACACAGCATAGGTTTATGACACAGAATGAATGTGGTCTAAGAACTTAAAAATTTTGAATTTACCTATTCAAACCATATCATTATTATTTGCTTTTATATATATAAATCAGAAATAACCAATCTAAAATAGAAAATTTTAAAGAAAAAAAAAGGAACCCCCCCCCCCCCCCCCAATTATTTTAACCCCCTTATGATTCATCACCCCCAGCCTTCCATTTGTGGTATGGTACCTTTCAGTACAATTTCAGAGAGATCCATACACTTGAACACAAGTTATTGTCTGGAAACTAGAAAAATGATTGTTTTTTGGCCCCAAATTCCTAAACATTTAAGGCAATTACCCCCAAACTCAAACCCAGCTTTCCCTTTGTGATATGGAACCTTGTAGTACAATTTCATAAAGATCCATACACTTACACACAAGTTATTGTCATGAAACTAGAAAAATGCTTGTTTTTTTACCCTTTTTGGCCCTTAATTCCTAAACCTTTGAGGCAATTACCCCAAAAAATCAATCCCAGCCTTCCCTTTGTGGTATGGTACCTTGCAGTACAATTTCAGAGAGATCCATACACTTAAACACAAGTTATTGTCTGGAAACTAGAAAAATGCTTATTTTTGGCCCCTTATTCCTAAACATTTTGGGCAATTACCCCCAAACTCAATTCCAGCTTTCCCTTTGTGATATGGAAGCTTGTAGTACAATTTCAGAAAGATCCATACATGTACACACAAGTTATTGTCATGAAACTAGAAAAATGCTTGTTTTTTGCCCCTTTTTTTGGCCCTTAATTCGACAATTTTGAGGCAATTACCCCCAAAATCAATTCCAGCATTCCTTTTGTGATATGGAACCTTGTGGTACAATGTCAGAGAGATCCATACAGTAACACACAAGTTATGTCTGGAAGTTACAAAAATGCTTATTTTTGGCCCCTTATTCCTTAACTGTTGGTACCATAACCCCCAAAATCAATCCCAACCTTCCTTTTGTGGTATTGAACCTTATGGTAAAATTTCATAGAGATCCATTCACTTAAACTAAAGTTAGAGTGAAAAAACCAATGTCTTCGGACGACGACGCCGGACGATCCAATATATACATATATATGCTGCAAATATGCAGCCAACGTCATACCAATATACGACAGCAAAAATATTTTGCGGTCGTATATAAATACAAACTTTATACAAGATACCCTTAGTTTCATTCACCCCTAGTTTGGTTGAAATTAGTTCTGTAGTTTCAGAGGAGAATTTCTTTGAAAAAGTTTATGACAGACACAAAATAAGTTGTTTAGCCCAAAAATTCCTTATTGAGTCATCCAATAGTTTCAGTCAATCAGGCATTTTTGTAAATCTTGTATTGCTGATCAGTTTTGCTGTTTACAGTTTCTACCTATCAAATATAGTTTTGAAGATGATTGGCAAAAACACGAAAATTTGCCAAATCATCCTTTAACATGTTCAAGGGCAATAACTCATTAAGGAGTCATCTGATAATTCATTTAAATAAGAAGTAAGTAATTCTTGATATTTGCAGCATTTCTAGCCATGTTAGATTTTCTTAATCTATTTTGGTTTTTCAAGACATAAGTCTTATGTTCTATTTTAGCCATGGCAGCCATGTTTGTTGACTGACCAAAAAAAAAAACACAAACTTTACACTAAATTCACCACAAGATGAAATTGTTTCAGTAGTTTCAGAGAATATCTTTGAAAAAGTTTATGAGGGAGCAGAGAAACACCTATGAAACTTAGAGCAGAGAATTATGCAACCATTGAAATAAATACTCATGAACTTATTGTTTCAAACAGAAAAAAGCAAATTAGTTGACAGTATATAGCAAGACTTGTGTTGTATGTTCTTCATTTGTGTGTAATTAGAAAGTGAAACTATTAATCCTGAAAATATTTCTGAATCCCACTTTTTTGGTATCACTGTATTACTATAAAAAGTGAGACTGATTCCATTTGGAGTTGAAGAACTCTTTTAAGATACTTGAACAAATGATGTGGCATGGTATAAGAGATACTTTGAGAAATTTAATTTCTTAAAAGCATAGGTATCATACTATCACATGCCTATTTTTAAATGTACATGTATTTCATATATTCTAATATTAATCTAAACAATAGTTTTTGCTTATATCAGTTACCAATACTGTTCAGCAAAACATTTGCACAACTTAAATTAGCCTATTGAATGCCATAACTGCCTTTCAATTGTATATCATTAAAAAAACTGTCATAACCTTCACAACAGTATACCGGTATAGATATGATCACAAATAACTTCACACAAAGAGCATATATACACATGTTACTTCATATTGAAAATCTAATTATCATTAACGTATACATGATATGTAAAATCTTGTATCCTCCGACTAATACTGAAAAATTAACAAGTTATAAATATGTAAACATTATAAAATCCTGAGTAATAGAAATGATTCAGGTACACCTTACTATTTTTTGTGGGTCAAATCTGAAAATTTGCACATCAAGCATACATGGTTAATTAATATGCCAGGATTTCAGTTTATGACTTGTTCTGATTGTATATTAGACCTTAACACTTTAAATGCTGAAAATTGTTAAATTTCTCCATGAAATTCAGCTCAGTTTGACATTTTTCATGGACAATTCATATAATATTAAAAGGTCAATTTTGAACCTTAGAATCTGTAATGACAAAGGAAAATCTAATTTGGCAAGGAAGAAATTTTTTAAAGATTAAAAAATGACACGACCCTTTTCAGGTAATCTGTCAATTGCCAGGAATAGAACATCCAATAACAGGTAAATATCCTCCAGCTTGCGACAAAAATCATGACACTTTCCTTTTTAATTAATGCTGCTGCATACCAAATTTAGCTAACTTTTTATAAGTGGTTTCTATTCCTTTTCAGCATTATAAACTAGGACAAATATAGATGCTGCCATTACACAAATTCATTAAACACAAGAAAAAACTCAGGTCTACTTTCATTTCAATGTCAAATACAAATTTTTTTTAAAGTTAAAGACCCAAAATGACAAACGAAGCAAACTGGAGGTTTTATCTTATTCTAGTAAATACAAAGAACTGTACAGACTATAGTACTAAGGTTAGAATGTTTCTCTATATATATGTATATTTGATTGTCTGACAAGGTTCAAAACCCTTTTCTAGCTGGTGCATTTTCCTGCAAATTCCTCTGGTCATTTTATACCACATTTTACAAGTCAATTTTGAATTCTTCTTTACACATGTTTCACCCTCTGTGGTTGCCATGGTGCCCAAATTCTCACCCTATCCAAGTTCAATTTTTTTGGACTAATATTTGGAGGAACTGCTTGGTAAGATTTCAAGGACATCTGAGCTGCCATTAAACCAGCCTTAACACAGAGGTCTGGATCATGACCATGAACTATTCCACTGATCATTGTGGCTGCCAAACTGTAAAGAAATAGATAATATATATATAATATTTTTCATTTATAGATACACAAGACTCTACAAGTCACTAATGTGTGTACTTGTATTACTTTGTGTCAAATTATGGAAGCCTCATAAATTTACCGTGAAATTTCTTTTTATCACATTTATGGCATTTATTTTTTGTACAACTTGACAATTCCTTGGTATAATTTTCCAAAAAATCTGTACTTTCGTCACCCCTCAAAGCAGGACTAACCTTAATATTAAGGCATGAAAATGATTTTTTTCATTTATCTGATACAAACACTTTTTTTCTAACATGCACACAGTGGCATGTCCTATATCATATTCAATTTATTGCTTAAGGAACTTTGCTTCTCTGTTTTAAAATAATAAGCTTTCAAAAAGACTGTTATAAATTGATAGTATATAAATAATGGAAAATAATATAAAAGCAGAAAAAAGTTATAGGTTTGTGTCCTTGTTTTTCAGATATAAGCCATTGCAAATTTGGCAGGAAATGATTCTCTTTAAATTTTTCATACATTTAACATGTTTAACATTGGCACCTTTTTTCTTTCAAAAACTATAAAAAAATAACAAGGGTTTGATGAGATTTTCAAAAATGGTTTTTTAAACTATATATTGTTGATTAATGAAAAGAAAAGTAGCAGTTAGCGGTCAAAATTTTTATTGGCACTACATGGATAAAACCACAGCATTCTGAATATCTGACAAAAAAATAAAACAAGAGCAGCAAACATCCTTAACCTCAACATTTTGTTGTTTGGAAATTGTTGATAAGTACTAACAAGTAGATACTTCTGTGTGATTTATTTAGAAACAAGAGTTCACACGCTGAAATGTCTCGCCTACTATACTGACCATTGATTTTATGTTGATAGTCCTACATATAAAGTTTTACTACAAGTATCACATTAACATTTATGATCCAAGAAAATGAGGTCAAGGTCAGATAAACCAAGCCTGAAATACATGTACACCTTTAATACAATAATTCTGTACACAGAATATAGATGACCTATTGCTTATAGTATAAAAGAAACAGACCAAACCATGGAAATTCTATAGTGACCAATGAACCATGAAAATGAAGTCAAGGTCAGATGAACCCTGCCAGACAGACATGTACAGCGTAAAATCATTCAATGCATCTAATGTAGTTGACCTATTGCTTATAGTATCTAAGAAACAAAGTTAACCATGAAAACTGAACATTGACCAATAAACCATGAAAATGAGTTGAAGGTCAGATGATACAAGCCAGACTGACATGTACATGGTAAAATATTTCCATACACCAAATATAGTTGTCCTACTGCATACAGTATTAGAAAAACAGACCAAAACACAAAAACTACACTATTAACACTGAACCATGATAACGAGGTCAAGGTCAGATGACACTTGTCAGTTGGACACCATCCAATCATTACATACACCAAATGTAGTAGACTTATTGCTTATAGTATCTGAGATACGGACTTGACCACTAAATCTTAACCTAGTTCACTGATCCATGAAATGAGGTCGAGGTCAAGTGAAAACTGTCTAACAGGCATGAGGACCTTGCAAGGTATGCACATACCAAATATAGTTTCCCTATTACTCATAATAAGAGAGAAATTAACATTACAAAAAATCTGAACTTTTTTTTTAAGTAGTCACTGAACCATGAAAATGAGGTCAAGGACAATGGACATATGACAGACAGAAACTTCAAATCATAAGTCATCTATTTACAAAGTATGAAGCATCCAGGTCTTCTACCTACTGAAATATTAAGCTTTTAAGGAGTAAATTAACGCTGCCAACGCAACAAAAGTCGCAGGCTCGACAATAAAACTAGAGGGTCTAAAGAGCCTGTGTCGCTCACCTTGGTCTATGCATGTGCCTATTCAACAAAGGACACTCTCCAACATTGTAGAAGAGAATAGAATTCATGATAAAAATCTCTGATTTGTTGATCTTGTATTGCTGATCATTTAGTCTGTTTAGTTTCTCTCTACATTCTTTAGTTTTTTCTCAAAACATAAAACAGGGTAAGAAAAAAACTCATTTAAGGGCAATCACTCCTATAAAGAGTGACAGTCTACTAACTATAACTGCATAATTTGACTTGTTAGTAGATCTTATTAGAAGTCGTCTGACAGTTTTGACACATTTTTTGTCAAGCCTGCGTTTTTGTCACAAAAGCGAGACATAGCGATCCTACATTCCGTCATCGACAGCGTTCACAAATATTCACTCTGTGGTTAAAGTTTTTAAATTTTAATAACTTTCTTAAACTATCCTGGATTTCTACCAAACTTGGACAGAAGCTTGTTTATGATCATAAGTTAGTATCCAGAAGTAAATTTTGGAAAAAAGAAAAAATTCTGTTTATCATTATTTTACTTATAAATGGACTTAGTTTTTCTGCCAGTTAACATTACATTCACTCTTTGGTTAAAGTTTTAAAATTTTTATAACTTTCTTAAATTATCCTGGATTTGTACCAAACATGGACAGAAGCTTGTTTATGATCAAAAGCAAGTATCAAGAAGGAAATTTTGGACTTAGTTTTTCTTCCAGTTAACATTACATACAGTCTGCAGTTAAAGTTTTTAAAACATTTATTAGATTCATAAACCATCCTAGATTTTTACCAAACTTGGATAGAAGCTTCTTACAATCAAAAGTTAGTATCTATAGAGGAAAATTTTAAAAAAAATTGTCCTAATTTTTGTTGAGCCTGCAACTAACAGCAAAAGTAGGCGAGACACTGGGTTCCGCGGAACCCTTATGAATTTTTTTAAACAAGATACCCCAATGATAATTGTGTCCAAGTATGGTTAAATTTGGCCCAGTAGTTTCAGAGGAGAAGATTTTTGAAAAAGTTATCGACGATGACGGACTACGACGACGGATGACGGACGCCAAGTGATGAGAAAAGCTCACTTGGCCTTTTGGTTGAGGCAAACTAAAGTTAGAGAAAGGAAACCAATTAAAGGGACGTACATTTGGACAGACAGACGGAGGTACAGACAGACAAGGGTAACACTTAATGCCCCCTACGCTCTGGCAGGGGCATAAAAATAATAAAATTAAAATAAACATACAAGCCATTAGTTTGCTCTGATGTCTGAAAGTTTTTTTAGGCATAAGAGTGCAGTCCATATAAAAAACATGGAATATGCTGCTCCACACAATTGTTAACAGTGTAAAATAAAAATTGAAAATGAAGAAAAAAGTTCACAATGTTGTTAAAAATGTAATATCGTAAACGAAATCCAAGAAGAAAATAACTCAGGTGAAGGTTAGGCTCCTAACATGTAGAAATTTTACATTCTTCCTGAAAATTCTTAATATAAACTTTTAACAAGTTACTTTAACACTTAAAGAATCAATTAAAAAATATGCACAAAACTAAATATTGATGTCTTATTGAATTTATTTGTATAGGTAACTTATCTGGACAACAGGAAATTTAAAGGTTTTTAAAAGAAAAATTTAATTTTGGAAATATCATGCAGTCTCAACATCAGGTCATTTGAAAACATCTTCTAAAATATGAACATCTTTGACAGGAACTGTGCAATTTGTGTGAAGGTAATATTACAATATAGAACTTGGAAAACACAATATAACCTGGATCATTATATTTGGCCTTATTCATTATACAGTTATTTCATTTTATTTTAAATTAAAAGGCATGTAATCTGCTTAATAAAGTTTATTTCTTCCTGAGATAACTTCTCTAATGTGTGCTACTTCACTTTTTCTCTTTAGGATTGTTTATGAAAATCATTATGTTTGTATTATTTCTGTCTGTATTATACATCTGGATTGTCAGATTTTGTTAGATTTTTTTACCCACTATTGACTATAATATCCAAAATTTATGTTCTTCAATGTACAGGTGTAACAATATCAATATCAAACAAAGAAGTTCTCACAAGAGTGTGTGCAACAATTTTATATGATAACACACTAATTCTGTTGTTTTCCCTTTTTAATAGTACATACCAGTCTCCAGCTCCAGAAACACTGACAATATTCTCTGGGGGATATCCTGCATTAAAAGCAGGAAAAATGTCTGCTGTCATTTTGTCAGAATGCTGCGAAAAAGAAAAAAATACTTTGATAACAGTTTATTGAGAAATTTTCTTTTAGGAATTGAACTGATATGCAACCAAACAAACGATAAACATCCTTTATTCTTTTAAAGGCTGGCATTTTGATGAAAAACTAGGTTGAACTGTTTAAGTGGATTAAAACTAATGGCTCCCCTTCATCTTATTTAGAAGGCACTCCAGTAAAGAAAATGCCCAACAAACACATTCTAATACTTAAAAAGTATTGTCATGGAAAATAAGAATATATACAGGGTTTTGACATTAACGGCTGTCTGATAGCCCAGGACAAGTTAAAGCTGCAGTGTACATGTCCGATTGGCAAGTTAAAAATAAAAGATAAAAAAAGTGAAAAGACAGAATCTAGTCTCAATTTGTTCTCTTTTCATCTATACATCATCATATCAATCAGCCCGACAATATCGACAAATTCACTTTAGTATTATCCCTTTCTAACAATAGACATGTTAAAAATATTGGTCAATAGATAGAGTAGGATTCTGTTGTTGACACATTCTTTGATGAACCAATCAGATTAGACCAACTGATAATCTATTACTATCAGTTGCCAGCAACCAATCGACTATCGATTAAAATCGCATCATTAAAGTTTGCTCTTTTTTTATATGAAATCATGCATTCAGCCACATTGTACATGTGTACTCACATACTCCATATCATTGCAGAATTTTATATGTTCATGTTTGATCTTTTGTTTACTTTTTACATTTTTGTTAGCAATAAATCAATTGGAAACTAGATTCAGATTGAACATATTTTGTCTCATAATTACAACATTTAATCACAACTATATGACGATGTCAACTAATATTTTTTAATTTCAATGGTATCACTCACATGATACAACCTTATACATGAATTAATAAAATAGAGGAAAGCAGCATTTCTTCTAAATATAATCATTTTTATGCTAATTTTAGGGAAGGCATGTTGTCTAGCATTTAAGAAAAGAAAAAGAAAAAATTTTGAATATATTTTTTTTTTAAATAATTTTGGAAAATGTTATATATATATGTATTGTTTATTTTATGTATTTAGTAGCAATCCGATTGTTTGGATTTTGTACTAATAAATATCATATCTTATCATGATAATTTCAAAAAAAATAGCTGTATCAAAATTTGAAAGTTTCTTATTAAATGATTAAAAAGAGATATATAAAGTATTTACGTTAAGCAACTTAAATGAAATAAATTTTAACTAAGGGGATCTAACCAAATATCTGTTTAACCGCATTGGAATGAGTATTTCGTTTTTAGTTGGTCTGTATCCGATCAGTAATATGTATAAACATGTATTTCAATGGCGGTTGAGGGAAGATAAACAAAAATAAACTATGTTTGACAAGTGATCTGGAAATGAATATGACATTTTTAATGCAATAAAAGGATGAAACATTAACTACAGGCAATTTTCATCACGTTCTAATAAAGTATCATTTTATTTTGCCAAAAAAATTAGAGTGATTTGATGTACACTCTCAAGTAACAAGTACTGGAAGGGAAAGAAAATACTTCATAAAACACTTTTATTCTAAAAAACATACGACTAATCTGTAAAAGCAATGCTTTTACCACGTTTCTACAGAAAGAATTTGTTTGAGTCTTTGATTATTGATTATAAGGTTTTTCTTGTATATCACACAGAGGAGTGTCATGATTGATCAAATGAAAGACCAACCAACTATGCATGCCATGTTTGCAGCTGGACATTAAGCAGCAATCAATCAATCTATTCAGAGAAATGGAACAATTCCTATTAAATTTGATTCACGTTATGTTTGTTTCATCACACAGATTACTCCAGCTTTATCACAATTAGTCAATTTTTGTCTTAAAGATTCATCCCTTTTTCCTTAGATTATTAGGAAAAGTCAGATATACCAATAGTAAAATTTCAAATTTAATCTCTGAGCTCTTCAATAAAATTATTCTTAAAATTAGTTGCTACATTAAAACATAAGAGAGCAGGAGTCATCAGAAGCAAGCTGAAAAATCCTGACAATAACTGAAGAAGAGTGGATACAATATTGTATCCATTTATACTTCATTTCTTTTAATGAACATTAACCTCAAGTCTGTATCCTTTGACAGGAAATTTCTGTATCTGACTCCTCTGACACAACATGACTCCATGTTTTCCAAGTGTTACTAAGACAATCGGTACTTCCTCAATGATGACTTTTGACAGCCAAATAGCTTCATCTAATATTCCTTCTAAAGTTATAACATCTGGATCCCTGTGACCTGCAGAAATAAGTAAAAAAAGGCTTTGATTTCTCACACAGGAACTCTTTATATCCATGACATATATATATTTCAAGTGAGAGCTTTTTTCTAAATTTTGTAAGTCATTCGGTCATTCGAGATATCTTCAAAGAAATACAAGAAGAAACACAGCAAAACTTAACTTTTATTACTCTGGATTTTTTCTAATTGGAGAATATCACCTAATAATATGAAAAGAAAATCCTTGAAGAGTAGGTACTTCTTATTATAATCAAAATGTATAATATGGTCAATAAGACATGGTTGGTAAACAATCCTGCCATATATGAGAGCTTTCTGTTGAACGGTCTCAGGGGAGTTGTTGCCAGATGAAATAAAAAATAGCAACTTGCAACATTGGTGAAGCCCAGCTTGGTCCCTGACTGCATACCAAATGTCAATTACTTACCACTAGAGGTTCCACATAAACTGACCTAATCAAACAATGATTGGCTCTTATAAAGAGTTACATTGTATTAGTTGGCTGATATGGAACAACTGATTTTGATTTCAGTGTGATTGATTGATGCAAAATGGCTACATCCCAGCCACTTTCAGTGTGTGACAAGTGTGTACATACATACATATTATAACAGACAAAATGACTGATCACCATTTCACGCTAAGTTGATCAAAACAATGCATGTTGCATTGCTATGTGTAATCAGGAACATATATATTGACATGACTTGACACTACCTAATTGTAGCTGATTTTATCGTCAGGTCATAGGTAACAAAGATACGATACGGAAACGGACATGTGTTAAAAACGTACTTGCTATTATCCTAATAATTTCTGATAATATCAATAAAATGTCATTCAAACTAGTTTTACAGTGATGCCAGTGTATCAAACTTGTATTCTGTCACTTCAAATTTGTTATAGTAGCATTAATTTTATCACAGAATGGTACAGAATGCAAACAGGGTAATAAAAAAATGGTGCTGATTGCCTTCCCAAATTCAAAATCATTATAAAACACTTCACATCAAATAAATCACACTTATTTTGGTAATTTTATATGACAAAATGTATCTACTTTATGATAAAACTTGTATTTATTTACGATTAGAATTATGTGGTTAATTTATTGAGCAGTTCCGATACTGTTTTTCAGTCAGATGCCACCAAAATCCATAAATCTCACGAAGTCTCATGGAGTCCGATATTTTATCAATTTTATACCGAAAAGCCTATCCGATTCATTTCCTGTTAGATATACTGTTCCAAGGTGTAATAAAACTCTACACATGTAATAATTATTTCACCACATAAATGTTGTCAACACTATGTGTAATAATGCAATCTGTTTTAATTACTAAACATAGTGTTGAGAGTATAAATTGTCCATGATTAAAATGCCAAATATTTGGCTATGTGTAAAAATTATTTTGTATGGTAATCTTCATTACAGCAGAATGTAGACTTCAAACATTAATGGCAGTTTTCTTGAAAAATCTATGAATTTTACTTACTACTTATAACAAGGGACAAGAACATCAACCAGGTTTACAAGGCTACAAATCCTTAATACTTACGACTTTTTTTTTTAATTACAAATAGCATATGCTATGTGAAATGAAAAAACTTTTGATACAGTTAATGTTTATATTAAAGAGTATTGTAATAAATGCATTTCAAACAAAAGCAATACCCGGTACATCTTTCTGATTTGTTTCCAAAATATTTTGTTTATATTTCAACAGGATTGCTACGCCATGGCCAAAAGTCTCATGCACCTTTGAAAATGAGGAATAAAATTGTGTGTATAGTATAGAATTGTACAGCAAGAATATAGATTATACTATAAAGTGTTTTCAAGCTTAAGTAAGTTATACAATGCGCAGAACAAGGTGTTTTAGTTGCACAATAGTCCATAAATAGCCAAAGTTCCAGAACTCACATAAAATTGGTCAAATCAAAACGACAGTATAATATCGTCAACTACATATAATGGCAAACCTCCTTGCAAGTATGAGCACTTTCTATCAAACTGTCTCAGAGGAATCATGTTCACAAAGTATCACTGTGGTAGGATAGGCCAATAAATTTAAAGTCCCATAAATCACATAAAGATGGTCAAATCAAAATGTATAATATGGTCAATAAGACATGGTTGGTAAACAATCCTTCATATATGAGAGCTTTCTGTTGAACGGTCTCAGGGGAGTTGTTGCCAGATGAAATAAAAATAAATGTGGATTGTGTCCACATGTGTCCACAGATGCCCCCGCTTGCATATCATATAGTTATAAAGGGACATAACTGAAGAACGGTAAAAGTGACGCTACCTAAATTTGAACTTGATCTGAGTTTTGTGGTAATAAGCATTGTGTGTAAGTCTCATAACATTTGGTTGAGGCTAACTTAAGTAGAGAACAGAAATGAAAAATTCAGCAACTTTTCTATTTGTAAACACACATAACTCTAGAACGGGTGTGTATAAGTTTTATAACATTTGGTTGAGACAAACTAAAGTTAGAGAACAGAAACGAAAAAATTCAGCAATTTTTATGTTTATAAAGGGACATAACTCAAGAATGGTAAAAGTGATGCCACCGAATTTCGTACTTTATCTGTATTATGTAGTAATATGCATTGTGTATAAGTTTCATAACATTTGGTTGAGGCAAACTAAAGTTAGAGAACGGAAACAATATTTGTACTTGATCTTAGTTTTGTGGTAACGAGTATTGTGTATAGGTTTCATAATGTTTGGTTGGGGCAAACTTAAGTTACAGAATGGAAACTAAAAATTTTGCAATTTTTCGATTTATAAAGGGGCATAACTCAATAATGGTTAAAGTGACACTACCCAAATTCAACTTGATCTGTGTTTTATCAGTGGAAAGCAAAATTAAACATTGCATTGTATAAAGCATTGATTGTAGTTGATTTAACTATAATCATGGACAAAGGAAGATAACTCCAATTTTAAATATTACTTGAATAATGACATTGATATTTTTGGAAAAAAAATGAAAAAATTTAGCAATTTTTCCATTTGTAAAGGGACATAACTCTAGAACAGTAAAAGTGACGACCCCAAAATTCAAACTTGATCTGTGTATTGTGGTAATAAACATTGTGTATAAGTTTGATAACATTTGGTTGAGGCAAACTTAAGTTAGAGAACAGAAACCAATTTTGGGACGTACGGACAAGGGTAAAACTTAATGCCCCCTCCGCTTCGGCGGGGGCATAAAAATAGCAATTTGTGACATTGGCAAAGCCCAGCATGGTCACTGAATGTATACCAAACATTAATGACCTACCACTAGTGGTTTCACATAAACTGACCTAATCACAAACTGATGTATTGTTAAGGAAGCAGCCGACACCCGGAAAACAACATGCCTCAGTCTCTCTTTTTCCACGACAAAAACTAATTCCCTATGACATACTTTAATTAGGTCTTACCTATTTGTGATTCTAGTGTGTTAGTTAAATGTCTGTATATAACTCTTAACTCATTCAGATTTGGGGAAATGTAGGTTAACCTTTGCCCTGCTGATGTCAAAAATGGTTTATGTGCTTTATTAACATCTGTAGGTTCATACCAAACTGAAATATACAAAATTCTTGTGTCAAGACACAATATTTAAAACATTTTCAAATGCAACAGGAAACTGCAAAGAGCCTGTATCATTAGTCTGATCTCTGATTCAATAAGAAATGGTTCAGGGTAATAATGACGACAGGTAAGGCATCCAACATAATTCTGAAGAGAACAATAATTTTTGAATTTTGAGTCCTCAATGCTCTTTAACTATGTGCTTCATTTGGCCTTTTTAACTTTTTTTATTTGAGTGTCACTGATGAGTCTTTTGTAGGCGAGATGTGCGTACACAATTTTATCCTGGTATCTAAACTATATGATGAGTTTATTCAGCAAAAATAGCTTCCAGCAGGCAAAAAGTTTTTTTTGTTGATGTTTTATCCCATGTGGCATTTTAGAGTTCATGAGCCATGTCTGATGAAGGTTGGGTTTATCAATCATAACATAAAATAGCTATCATATATATTTATCAGTTCACTAAAGTTAGGTCCCAAATCCATTCAGGATTCCTCAGAAATTTTACTTCAGGGTGCAATCAACAGTTTTTTTCTATGACGTCATATTTTAAGGGACCATGCCTAAGTGACCCTTAGTGGTGGAATGGTTAATAAAGATACTTGTATAAAACTAGATATCACTGGAATCAGAATTTTCTCTAGTTTATATTGAAATAAAAATATAGTGTACTATTAGTATAGTAAAAAAGTTCTATCCAGAGAAAATGGGGAAAAAGTTGCCTAATCTGAACATAAAAAACCTGAAATCAGCTCATGTGCGTACCCATGTAAACATGATACAGGTACATTTCCCATAATCAAAACTGTATGAAATTCATAGGTTTTTACCTGGCCTTTAATAAAAATCATGTTTCAGGGTACGGTTTCCTGCTTCAAAAAGAGCTACAGTGGCTGCAAATAAGTTTTCAATTTTCACTGCCAAAAAAACAGGATGTTTACAGTGTTGTCTCCCCTCAAAGCATGTATATTAAATCTAATTTTTAAAATTATTTTAATCATTCAACCTGTATAAATTGAAAGCTAATTAACTAATTTATACAATCAAATACAAAAAACATGATACTTTTTCACCAATTATATGAATAAAAAGGGATTTCCCTCCATGGTTATTTTTAGTCGGGGGAATAACCCCTAGTTTTTTATACGAAACTGTTTATAGCACCCTCATTCACAATGGCAGCCATTCTGCTGTTTGTTTAGAGGATAATAAGTGTGTCATTCCCTTTAAAGTTTTATTGTAATTGTACTTTAAAGATTTTTTTAGAATTGAGCCTCACAAATCCCATTAAAGCTTTGAGTGAACACAGAGGCACTTTGTGTGCAAATTTTATTGCAAAGTAAGTAATTGTAATGCGCTGGTTCTTCAAAATCTTAAATAAGAATCAGGGATAGTGCTTAATTTCTATATCAAAACCATATAAACTAAAGGTTTTTCCTTCGTATAGGGATAAGCCTTCTAAGAAATATATACTGTAAATTCAGAAATTATTGCGTGCATTTATTATTGCGATTTTTGAAAAATTAACAAAAATGTGAGTTTAACTATTGCGAATTTTGGAAAAGCTACATACCGATATATGTATTTGATATTAGAATGCAAGTTTTTATTGTTGCGATACTCAAGTAGTCGCGTTATTCGCATTAATAAAAATCTCGCAATAATTTCTGAATTTACAGTAAACAGAATCAATCCATGTATAATTTTTGGTACAATATTACACAATGTTTTCATTGAAATGATTCAGACTACTTACCAGGAACATGGTTCTTATGACAAATTTGACACACATATTCTATTGAATCAGTTGAGATATTTCCATCTAAAACAACCATCGATGCTAATGCTAAGTTCTTCTCATACCGACTAATCTATCAAAATATATTTATAGGTATTGATATGATATGAGACCTTCAAATTTCTATCAAATTATATGAGTTTTTCTCATACACTGGTATCACTCCACATACCAACAAAAAAATGAATCATATGGGCAGCATTAAATAGATTATGCAAATGAATATCAATACAGCTGTTAGCTTATTTCGGGATGACAAAATCTCCATGCAAATAATAAAAATAAGAAGAAGTGGTATGATTGCCAATGAGACAACTCACCACAAAAGACCAAATGACACAGAAATTAACAACTATAGGTCACTGTATGGCCTTCAACAATGAGAAAAACCCATACCGCATAGCCTGTATTTGTTTGAAAATTGAGTTGATATAAGAACCCTACTAAACAGACCAAAGTTCATCTTTTATTTAGTATTTGAATGTTCCAAAATCAATCAAAGTCGTATACATCTACATGTATAAGTGCACTTACATAAGGTGGATTTCTATCCGACACAGCTCATATAATATTGAACATAGTCTGACCTCGTTGTGTAAAACTAGCCACAAATATTAAAGGCAACAAGAGTTGAAACACAACAATGTCTCGTTAGCTGAAATATTTAAAAACTAATTGACTCTGAAACTGAAGTCAATGCCAAATAAAACTTGTCAGGTACACATGTTAATTAACCCGGTAATTAATTTGCATATTATTACTAAATATTTTCAACCTATCATGGACCTAATTCCAAAGCTTTTTTAAGCCGACCACTGATGATCATGTGGTAAAGGTTATATTTCATATATGAAATTCAGTTACTGTAAATTCAGAAATTATTGCAAGTTTTTTATTAATGCGAATAATGCAACCCGGTGAGTATCGCAATAATAAGAACTCACATTCTGATGTCTGAAACATATGTCTGTATGAAGCTTTTCCTGAAATTACAATAATCAAACTCACATTTTTGTTTCGTCTTCAAAAATGACAATGATAAATGCATGCAATAATTTCTGAATTTACAGCATATAATCATTATTATACTTTCTTGCATATTTTGCCCTACATTCAATAATCACATAATTTTAACTGAATACACATTTAAAGCTACTCACATAATCAGGAGTAATTTGTTTGTGGACATCCATATCTCCTATTCCAAACATAAGTTCACCATTGCTACTTAAAACAGCACAGTAAGTGGCAGTGTTGAACTTGTCAAGAGAGGTAACTCCAGATAGATCCTTAAAATGGAAAAATTAAGTTACAATGTTAACAGAGTGAACATGCTGAAATGTCTCACCTGCTTTACTGATCATGATTGAACTTTATGTTGAAAGTCTTTAAGATCAGGGTTTTACTACAGATATAACATACATGTAAACTTAAAATAATCAATTATCAATGAAAACGCCATATAGGTCAGATGCACACTGCCAGACAGACATTTACTCCTTACAATATTTGGCTAACTACAGCTGACCTGTTGCTTATAGTATCTGAGAAACATACTTAATCATGAAACCTAAATATACAGCACTTATCCATGAGGTCAAGGTCATATGAACCCTGTCTGACAGACTTGTTCACCTAAGAATCAATCTATTCAGCAAATTTAAATATAGGTGACCTAGCTATAACTTATAGAATCTGAGAAAAGGAACCTAATCACAACTAAAGCTGTCCACATAGCAAAACCAATCCCCCCTTTTCCGTGTTCCCTGTACATGCATTTTAGTTGCTGCTGTCAATTTGAGTATTGAGACAATGACATTTAAAGATTTTTTGGCTTTCTCATTAAGAATTTACATTTATAGCTCACATCTTCAAAAAATTATATTTTTGTGCAATTGAAAGTGGAATGTGTAATAATATGTTTGAACAAGCTATAAACTCTTAGAAGTAGGTGCTATGATATAGCCAAGTGTGTTGAAAATGGTGTTAAATACCAAAAATCAATAAATCAATCATTCAATCAATCAATAATAGACATTAGGTTTTAACTAACTTACCATGTGTTTACAATAATCTTCAAATACTGTTCTGTTGGCATCATTACCAGTGGCAGATATAAACAGTGGATTGGTTTCTAATCTACTGAGACAGTCAGCTAAGTTCCTACCAACACCACCAAACGATTGTCTCACATTCCCTGGATAAGTAGCTCCATCCATCTGATTGGAAAATAATACAGGATAAAAAAAGATCTTCAATTAATTCAATAAATATGGATCTATAATTGCCTTAACTTAAAACATATTACTGTCAATTAACGAGATCCATGAGTTTGGTCCTATGTTTATTAAAAGGAACCTGGTAAAACTTAATGAGCATATTTGCTTCATCCTTTGCTTCCTCCTCTCTGCAAATCAATTCATATATATTTCAAATAATTTTTACATCAGTTACATCTGAGCAGTTTTGTTTGGACACCTAATGTCTTTTATTTAAAGAAACTACTGATAAAATTCAAAACATCTGTTGAAAAATGATTGACATAAATATGGTTTTCGTTAGTGATTAATCTATTATGTGTAATTTTCAATAATCAGTAATCGATTAAAGTAAAAAATATCTATTTCTTTAAGTACGGACAGGAAGAATGTGGAATCTAACCATTCAAAATATTTGTCAACATCCAATGAAAATCATCGTTCCAAACTATTTGCATTATAATGTAAGTTTTGTTGTCTCTAGTTCGTAATTGCTTTGACAACTTTTTTTAAGATTTGCTGTGGCCGCGGGATGTCAGAGGGCAGTCAATATAGAAAACATGTTAAATGGCTGATCCAGACTTGGGGCTGCAACTTTCCGTCTCTAAATTATAATAGATCCAATTTCAAGTTGATATATCACACATAATTCGATTCCTTATTCATTCTATTCCACACAAATGTAACTTTTATTCACGTACTAACCCCCTGTAGCACAATTGATAACATTATTCCCTTCAACCCTCCTTTTTTTGGTCCATTCTTTCACTTTGAACAAGAAGTCATGTGACTGTTGGAAGTTAATTAATGATTCTGGTGACATTTGTACAATAGTGAGGTTTCGCTCTTTATCCAGCACAAATTAACATACCCGCTGCATTTGTTTGCACCAGTCCTAAGTCAGGAACCTGATGTTCAGTGGTTGTTGCTTGTTGATGTGGTTCATAAGTGTTTCTTGTTTCTTGTTTTTTATATAGATTAGACCGTTGGTTTTCCTGTTTGAATGGTTTTACACTAGTCATTTTTAGGGCCCTTTATAGCTTGCTGTTCAGTGTGAGCCAAGGCTCCGTGTTGAAGGCCGTACTTTGACCTATAATTGTTTACTTTTTACACATTGTGACTTGGATGGAAAGATGTCTCATTGGCACTCATACCACATCTTCTTATATCTATTTGCATTAATTAGCTCCCATTATTACAAGTACTGAGAGGAAATAACACCAGATCACCATAATTTGTTCAAAGTTGATATTGCTGAAAATAATGGATCGATGGAAATAAAGCTTTCTTTTGTGCTAAAGTGGGTTAGTAATTCAATAAAAAAAAATTTTGTAGTAAAATAAATAAGGAATTGAATAATTTATGATTTATCTGCTTGAAAATGAATCTGTTACAATTACTAAACTGGAAATCACCGCCAAGTGTTGGTCGGCAATTTCCATGTTTTATATGTACTGGTCTCTGATGTCCCAGTTTTTCCAGCAAATCCTAAAAAAAATCAGAAGTGAGAGCAATCTTGGACCTCATGCAAATCATACTATATCTTCAATAAATCAATTTATCATTTCTTTGAACAACTAAAACCTTCAATTTTGTTTTTAGACAAAAGTTCTATTTATTATCTGTACAAAATGACCCAAACGTTTTTTTGTGTGGAATATCCGATTATGCTACAAATATTTTTGTTCTGTTTACCTGTATATTCTGTGATGAAATTTTAGCATAAAAATCAACTATAGATCCTCCAATGACAACCTGAAAAATAAAAAAACAAACTTTAAAAAGCTTACTTTAGTGTACAAAAATCAACTTCAATAATTTGAGGGAGGTGCGCATGCATGCTACTTGAGGAAAATACAGTAAAAGTTTCATAGTATAATAAAGTTAATCTCAGAAAAAACTAGATATGGATAATGCTCCCCATCTGCTCTGCAATATGCATGAGTATAGTTCCATACACTTTAGATAAGACACACAGTGATGTTGAAGTACAACTTGAAATTGTTGCGCTGTCTGTAAGACACAAATGATGCCCCCGCCTTACCATCAGAAATTATAAATCTAACACTGTGTATGATGATCTATCTTTTATTTTATTTTGAATGTCTAACTTGCAGGACTGGATATCCAACCAAAGGTTTCAACTTTCCAGTTTATTAGTAGTCACCAAGTTCAACTTTCTATTTCCAGTGGTCACAAAGTTCAACTTCTCGGTATTGATTAAATATTTGACATTACTAAAAAAATCTTATTTATTGCATTAGGGACATTAAACTGTAGTAGTACAAACCATGTTTTCAATCACATAGCAAGTGAGAAGGAAAGGTCCAACTACTGGTTTTTGTGAATATCTAACAAACCCCCTTTCTAACTTTTTGTTCAAAAAATGACTAAGTCCAAATACCTGGCATTTTGAGATTATTTGAAAAAAAAAAAAAAAAATCCTGAAGACATGCACACCTCTATCATGTGTAGAAACATCCTACAAAATATCAAAGCTGTAGCTCAAAAACTGTAGGAGGAGATAGCTGGACATATCATGTATTTACATTCGGACGGACGGACGAACAGACGGACGGACAGGGGAAGATTAATATGCCTCTCAACATTTTGTTGCCGGGGCATAAAAAGGTGATGCATGGATAAGTTAATGAAAAATAACAAGATTGCTATGCTGTAAGGAAATGTCCTCCACCAATGTGTAAAATAGAATTAATATTTTTTTAAACTATAGAGTGGCGGGACACATATTATCTTAAACTTCTTCTTTCAAAATATTCAAGATGGTATATAAACCCAATATTGCTCTAAGATGACAACAAATTTCTGTGATATCATAGTATCACTGAATATCTGAGAAAACTTTTGTAATTTGATAAGTTCAAGATTTTAGCCTCCTAATTAATTGGTAAAAGGAAAAAAAAGGTAATTTATTTCTGGATGACAAACTTTCACAATTATCAAACACATCAAAATGATGACATAGTCTTTCAAGCTCAACCATTTTGGTGTTAATTACTAGTAAAAGAAAATATATTTAAAACTTATAAATTTTCATGCAACAGCATTCATTTTACTATTGAGATAATACAGTGGTTAATTAATCTCAATCCTTTTGAAGGTCTTTGCTTGATTTTCTCAAGTGCCAATCAATAACTCATAAAATAGAAACAGGCTGTTAGTTATCTTGTTTGAATTGCTTTACATTTGCCATTTCAGGGCCTTTTATAGCTTGCTATTCGGTATGGGTTTTGCTTATTATTGAAGGCCTTACAAGACCTTCAGTTGCTAACCTTCTAAGTCATTTGGTCTCTGGTGGAGAGTTGTCTCATAAGCAATCATACCACATCTTCTTAATTTCATATTTAAGCAGTTTTTAAATACATATAATTATATATGTATGGCTTTCCAAATACCGTTTCGATTCCTAACATCACTGAAGAGACATTAATTGTTGAAATCCTTTTATGGTGTACAAAAACCTTTGCACCATTTGTTTGCGGTATATCATCTTTTCCGCAAGTTTATTGTTTTCTGTTTAGTATTAAATTTTTAATTAAGATCCATTTATTACATCAGTGATCTGTTTATTTGGCAATCGCCAATGGCAGTCAGCAGGGTTTAAGAACATTTGTTGTTCGACCTGTTAGTCAAATGCGTTTTGTTAAAATATGCTTTTTCACTTTTTTGGTCTTTTTGATAATGTTGTTTGTGCTGTATTTAGACCCCTCTAACAAGAAATTTGTTTTTGCATGCACACGTATAAAAATGCGGTTTTTATCCAACGCAATCATAGGTTTGAACGTTGTTTTCAATTTAGACTTGTATATATATATATATAAAACGTCTGAATAATAGTCAACTATTTTTCCCACGAGGGCGCTGGATCGTTACGAGTAACGATACATGTACACAATAAATAAATTATATAAACGCCTAAAAAGTGTACACAACAACACCAATAACAAAAAAAGGAACTATAAATGTAATTATTTATAAATATTTCGGATAACAGATATCCTTCATCAGTAAATATGATTGTGATGTTGAATGAATCATATATTAGTCTACTTAAATTAAACTATAACAATCTTGAAATTTATACAATAAAAATATATGTAGAAAGTCTTATAACAACAACACTGGAGGGACTGCTGCAGAAAATTTATTGATCGACATGTTTCGGTGCCTAGGGCACCGTCATCAGGATACAAATAATACATTGAACATACTTAAGTGTACAATCGGGTTGTCTTGTGACAACGTCATAGTATAGTAGTTGTTATGAAAGGGAAGTAATAGTGAAAGTATAAATAGAAAATGTATATAAATAGATTGTCAACATGAAAATGAAAGTAAATTAAAATTGTTTGTATATCAACTCTGTGTTATTATTGTCTCAGCTAAAAATGTTATAAATAGAATGTACAAACACATGTCTGTCCCATAGTTCTTCCGGTAGCTCATCTAAACATATGGTTTCATCACTGCTGCTTGTTGTCAGGTCTATGTAGTCTTCCTGAGTAAGGTCCATGACATAACCGTAATCGTTTGTTATTGTATTACGGTTATGTCATGGACCTTACTCAGGAAGACTACATAGACCTGACAACAAGCAGCAGTGATGAAACCATATGTTTAGATGAGCTACCGGAAGAACTATGGGACAGACATGTGTTTGTACATTCTATTTATAACATTTTTAGCTGAGACAATAATAACACAGAGTTGATATACAAACAATTTTAATTTACTTTCATTTTCATGTTGACAATCTATTTATATACATTTTCTATTTATACTTTCACTATTACTTCCCTTTCATAACAACTACTATACTATGACGTTGTCACAAGACAACCCGATTGTACACTTAAGTATGTTCAATGTATTATTTGTATCCTGATGACGGTGCCCTAGGCACCGAAACATGTCGATCAATAAATTTTCTGCAGCAGTCCCTCCAGTGTTGTTGTTATAAGACTTTCTACATTATTGTGTTTCATCATAACGACCCTGCATACCCGAGGTATCCACTTCAGGGACTCTAACTCACTACAGACTCACCAGGCGTTGGTTCACTTTCGTTTGTAATAAAAATATATATATGGAAAACAGAATATTTGTTTCTCCATTATCTTCTTGTTGCCTATTTGAATATGACGACAACACCATAAAACTTGAGGTGTACAAAAGTAATTTGTCAAAAATATATGTGCATACTACTTACAATCCTGTTGTCTCCTGTCTTCTGATTGGACGGATATCTGTGTCTGGAGGTAGAAATGACACCCACTTTCTTCTTTCTTATATCACACAGTTTCATTGCTATCTGACTCCCTACTATGGCATTATTTTTCACTAATGCAATATCAAAGCTGGTTAAGGAAAACATTTGATATCTTTTTTTGCCCTTTTTTTAACAGTCTAAGATTAATAAATATGATGTAACAATAATAGGAATAATTATGTGCAAAAGTTTGGATGGGTGTAAAAAAAAATTCATCACCAGAAATCGATTTGTATTAATTACTAATAAAAGTATTGGTAGTAATGTCCAACAGCTATACCATAAATAACAAACTGCACACACATAAAGGATACTGGCTGTCAATGATGATCCTTGTGTCATCTCATTTACTTTCTGTAACACAAATGGGGTTACTTCCTTTCCAATAATATTCTGGTTCCTACAAAAATATAAAAAGTCTATAGTAGACACAAAAGTATGTCACTCTTAAACTAAAACTCCTGCTTTTTCATGTCGGTCTCATTGGCAATCATACCACATCTTCTTATTTTTATATTTACCATATTTAGAAAATACAAGTGCTTGTTGATTTTGAATTAGAGCCCCATAAATAATTGTGAGAGAAAATGACAATAGTATCAACAGTTTACTGACATCAGACAACAGTTACTGAGTAAAATTACAAATAAATAATATTCATATAATCTGAAATCAAATAAACAGTACATTACACAGAACCTTATTAAATAGCACAACCCATTGAGTTTGATAATTGTGCATTAGATGTAAAATATGCCTGAATCAAGGGATATACTCATACTCATAAAATGCTTACAAAATCTAAATCCCCAAAATAAGCCACTGTCTGAGTAAGTGATGATTATATATTTAATACATGTTCTTGGGCAAACAAAAACAGTGAGTAAAAAGTTGTTCAGATTGAGACATCATGGCATTCTTCCAAAACCTTCCAAATGCATTTAGTGTCCCCAATCACAGCGGACATAAATTGTTTGGAGATTTGTACAAGTATATTTACTTGATCTCAATGTTTTTCTTGTTAAACAACTGATAATCAATGTCATCATGATCTATACATGTATATCTTTTAAGACATTTTACTGGTAAATTTGAACTCTGTTATTGAAAAACATAGAAAATAATCTGAGAAATCAACCAAAATTCTAACTGCACTAACTTAGCTTCAGTGAGTGCTTGCTGTATAGCAAACTCTATTATCTCGCCATCAGCTGATGATTCCTGAGGTATAGGTACTGCTATCAATATTCCACTCTGTAAACCTAACCTAAGTTGAGCATCTGTAATATAAATGCTAGGTTTGTGTTCCCTTAACCATAATCTGCTATCAGAATTCAATGTATTCATACATGTGAAACTTCGGTCTGGAAGACAATAATCCCCTTTTAAGTGGTCTCCTTACGTTTCCCCAGTGAAGAGATAAAAATTCTGTGTATCATAATTTCATGAATAAAAATTTCTAGAAGCCATTGTTATTACATTTGTTTCAAACATTTACTTTTATAAATGGTAAAAACCCAAGTTTATCAAATGTTTGATTAACAATTGATTTCTGGTGTAACTGAGATTACACAAATCAGGTAGATTTTGACCCTGAGGCTAATTAACATGTGATTATAGTTTGATTGTCAAAATGAGGTCAAGGACAATGGACATATCCCAGACAGAAATTTCTTAATATAAGACATCTGTATACAAGTTAATAAGCATCCCGGTCTTTTGCCTTCTGAAAAAAGCTTTATACGAAGAGTTTAGGCTGCAGCCCGACTATCATTCCTACGTCTGGCATTCTGTTAATTTCATTTACTCACTTGAATAATTCCCTGGACTGACCATGGGGACCAATGACTGACAACGAGTCATATTGTTTTCGTGAAAAATATTTTAATTGTTGATACAAAGTATATAGGAGTTGAAGAAAAAATTAATTAGTGTCCAGAGAAACCAATGTTAACCCTGCCTCCTACCAAATCCAATCTATGATTGAGTGGCGATATTCAAGTCAATGAAAACTTTTATACTATGAGATATGGGTTTTGTTCATTGTTGAGGACCATACTGTGACCTATAGTTGCTAACAACCACATCATTTGGTGTTTGGTGAACAGCTGTCTTAGTGGTAATCATATCACATCTCCTTATTTTCATAAACTATAAATTCAGAAATTATTGCAAGGCTGTTATTAATGCAAAAAATGTGACTGGGTGACTATCGCAATAATTAGAACATGCACTCTGATATATGATCCATCTATATGCAACTTTTCCTAAAATCGCAATAAATAATCTTGCATTTTGGTCCATTCTTAAAAAATCTCAATAATAAATGCACACAATAATTTCTGAATTTACAGTATTCTTAAATTCCCTAACAACAACTACAACAATTTTTATTTGTCAATCAAGATGCCCAGAGGAGCAGAACAATTACAGTTTTAATTAAAGTGTACAAATAATTGTGATGATTTTTTTGATTGAAAAATTACAATAAAACTAAAACTAAAACTCTATACATCATGGCTACTGAAACATACCAGTAATAGCTTTGTCTCATGCTTGGCTATATCTATAGAGAAAAGAAAACCTATGATTATGAAATCTGAAATTTGAACTTTGATTTTTAGCATGAAAGTTTAAAAAGTTACCATTCTTATAATTACTAAAATAATACCAATAAGTTCTGCTGCTTTTGTAGCATCTTGTACATTGTATGGTGACTGGTACCCACTCCTTGGTACAAAGAATGCTGGAAAATCTTTACTGTTCCCATAACTGGCCACACAAACTCCTTTTGTTTCCTATAATATACAATGTACAATGAAGTTCAGTATTACTTAAAACCAACACCATGTCAAGAATCAAGATTTAACTACAACAATAGAGAGAATAAATTGCTTCGCCAAGCACAGCTGGATACAACAGCAGAGGTTTAACCCTGAACAGTTGGGGCAAAAATGGACACAATAATTGCGCTTGATACAGGTCTGAATTTGGATGGTAATTAAATATTTGACACATAATAGGTTTCTGACACAGAATAACTGTAGTCAAAGAACTTAGAATTGGTTATATGATTTGAATTTATATTCAATTTTTTGCTTTCGTGCAATACACTTTGCTGTTGCGAATTGACCCCCCCTCCCCCACAAAAAAAATAAAAAATTTACCCCCCTTTTTATTTGCTTTTGTGCAATACACTATGCTGTTGCGTATTGACCCCCCCCCCCCCCCCCCCTTTTTTTATTTTGCAAAAAAAATTATGTTTGAAGAATTTTTCTTTTTAATTTCTGAAATCAGAAATGAGAAAAAATTGACCCCCACAATTTCTTTTTACCCCCCCCCCCCTGCTTTTTCCCCCAAAAAAAATTCTTTCCCTCAAGATATGGTCATATTCTCTATTCAAATTTCCAATGGAGTTTGCAACCATAATTACCCATTTAAATACATCATAAAAGTCTTAATATAGAAAATGACATACATAATCATGGCTAAAATTAATATTCCTTAATAGTAACTTCTAAAAATAAATTGACAGCTAATCATCTCAAGACAATACAACATTTCTTTATACATAATTTTAAAGCAGTGTAAGGGGTGTATTCAAAACGTGATTGGATTACCTCCCTTACACTGCTTTTAAATTGTCTTAAGTAATTAAAATTGAGAATGGAAATGGGGAATGTGTCAAAGAGACAACAACCCGACCATAGAACAGACAACAGCAGAAGGTCACCAACAGGTCTTCAATGCAGCGAGAAATTCCTGCACCCGGAGGCGTCCTTCAGCTGGCCCCTAAACAAATATATATACTAGTTCAGTGATAATGAACGCCATACTAAACTCCAAATTGTACACAAGAAACTAAAATTAAAAATAATACAAGACTGGCAAAGGCTAGAGGCTCCTGACTTGGGACAGGCGCAAAAATGCGGCAGGGTTAAACATGTTTATGAGATCTCAACCCTCCCCCTATACCTCTAGCCAATGTAGAAAAGTAAACGCATAACAATACGCACATTAAAATTCAGTTCAAGAGAAGTCCGAGTCTGATGTCAGAAGATGTAACCAAAGAAAATAAACAAAATGACAATAATACATAAATAACAACAGACTACTAGCAGTTAACTGACATGCCAGCTCCAGACTTCAATTAAACTGATTGAAAGATTATGTCTTCATCATATGAATATCAGGCACAATCCTTCCCGTTAGGGGTTTAGTATCATACCATCATAACATATATGAGAAGAATTGTGCATTAACCAGGAAACCCTTGTTTTTCCCCCTTTTTTGCCCCTAATTCCTAAACGGTTTGAGCCATAACCCCCCAAAGCAAATCCCAACCATCCCTTTGTGGTATGGAAACTTGTGGTATAATTTCAGAGAGATCTTTACATCGTTCAACAAGTTATTGTCTGGAAACTAGAAAAATGCTTATTTGGGCCCCTTTTTGGCTACTAATTCCTAAACTGTTAGGACCAAAACCCCCAAAATCAATCCCAACCTTCCTTTTGCGGTTATAAACCTTGTGTTTAAATTTCATAGATTTCTATTTACATATACTAAAGTTATTGTCCGGAAACCAACTGTCTTAGGACGACGACGACGACGACGACGACAACGTGATACCAATATACGACCACAAAATTTTTTGCAGTCGTATAAAAAGTACCACATTGTATATTAAATATTGAAACATTTAAAATCAGTAGAAATTAGAAAAAAGTATGGACAAAAACTAGACAATTGGTAAATGAGGCAAAAAGTCCTTTGTAAAACATGTAAAATAGCTTTGGCCTTAATCCAAAAATTATCCTATCAGTGACAGCTGTGTAGGCCTTGATGACACAAATGTTTCAAACTGTGTTTTGATATACTGGTATGCTAATTTTCATTTACATACCACAATTGAGGTCTTTTAAGTATGATAAATACACAACTAAATTTGATGAAACGTGAAATGTAGGTGTAAAAAATATTTTGTATTACCGTATATATAATATCAAAATACAAATTAGAACTATTAAACCCATCTATCAAGGACCATAACTTCTAAATGGCAAAGGTGAAAATCGTCAATATCAAAAATGACCTCCATTTTGTCATCAGTAACAATATATTAAAACTTAAAAGCATAAGATGAAAGGTTTATAAGTTATTACATTTTAAACGACATAAAGAGAATTTTCCATTGAATCTATCAAGGCCAATAACTCCTGAACTGCATAAGTGAATCTTCAATATCAAATAAATCTCCATTTTGTCATCAGTTACAACATATTAAAATTGAAAAGAATTGGTTGAACAGTTTATAAGTTATTGAAAGAAACTGTTGACAGCAAAACGCCTACTTCACCATTTTAATAAATGAATTTTTCCTGAAGAAAACCCTGATTAAAATTTAGTACTCGATAACAAATAGGAGCCTCACTTTTCTTCCAATTTCTAAAATCTAACGAATAAATATTATATTTTCCGTTTATTTACATACAGTTAACTTTTGGTTGATTCGAAATCTCGGATGAGTCGAGGTTTTCAAGTTGTCCTAAACTTTGTTCCATATAAATATATGTATATCAACTCCTAATGAGTCGAAATTTCGGTTGACTTGAACCAGATTTACCATCCCAAGGTTTACAAAAGCATGCAAATTGCATTATTCATCTCGAATTGATACACGTTATATGTCAAAACATGACCTCGGGATTTAAATAAATTGAAGAGTTCATTTGACAATACACCTGTAATTATATTTCCGGTCACTGACCAATGTATTGATTTATGACATTCTTTTTCCACGAGTGTTTACCTAAGATTATCTTTGATTACCATGATAAATAATAAGTGATACTTAATGAAAAATTATTTAAAATGTTTTAAAAAAAATCAACCGTTATCATACATTAATGAGCTTTTATAGCTGACTATACGCCATGGGTTTTTCTCATTGTTGAAGGCTGTACAGTTGCCTATAATTGCTTACATCCACTTCATTTGAACTTTGGTGGATAGTTGTCTCATTGGCAATCATACCACATATTCATCTGGATTTATTCTAGCCTAACTAAGCTAAGCACGAGTTGTGTCCCTTGATCAAACCTCTGGTATTTTTTTGAGTCGAACTACAGGTATATTGAAATATATCTCTGGTCTGGCTGACTTCGAGATAACGAGAGTCGACTGTATAAAACTAATGTATATTGTTTATATTTCTATGCCAAAAGAGTTTTACAAAATAAAAAAAAATTTGAAGTAAACAAAAGCACAAATCAATAAAAAAGTAATTGATTGAGAAAATATTAATTTGTTGAACTTTAAACAGATGAAAATTGTCTATTTTTTAAAGAAAAAAGTTGATTTCACAGGTTTTTATTCAAAATCTGAAATTGTATTATTTTGATATATGTCATTTTAAATAAATAAGACCCTTTGGCAGAAATGTTGAATGCACTAGTGACATTTACAAAACATAGATAAGTAATTTATTTACAATCAATAGCAGTAGAGATATATCAAACAGAACATCCCATTGTAACATTTCAATGTATATAATTATATAAAATTTACTACAACTAAGAAATCAAAATGAAAGTGAAGATATGAATCAATTAAGACCTAATAAAATGAAATTAGTGTTAATTGTATACATTTGTAATTCAAATAAAGTGAACAACAATTAAACACTAAACACAATACACAATACAGCAAACAGAAGAAAAAAGAATCTCTTTCTGATAAAACGATTTATAAATCAAAACTAATATCAACTCAAGTCTAAAATGCCATAAAAGTTAGTATAATTACACTAATGCAAATATAAGTTCACACAAAGCTGAGACAAACCTTAGATCATGCTGAAATATATGTACTGTAAATTAAGAAGTGTCATATTTACTTTATTGGTTTTAAAATTAGTTGATTTTCAACACATGCATGGCTTATCATCAAAATACATGATTATATATTTCTAAACCATATCAAATACCTTTCAATCACTTTTATCTGTACCATTTTTTCTGGTGTCACATGAAAAGTACTTTTTTAAGATGTGACAATGTTCTGTACTCTGAACCAGTTATCATCATTGAACAAATTGCATTCTTTATCTCTTATATTGAACTTCATTGAAGATTTTTTGGTTAAAAATTGTTTTGCCTTGGTTGATTGTAGATGTGATCAGAAAATTCTACCGGCTATATAAGCCATTAATGATGTTGAAGTTATTAGTTATGTAAACTGGTTGTTACTGGTTGTAAACATTTTTCTATTTTAAAATTTCAGATCTTTGATTAGGCCACACAAAATTAATTTCTAGTTCTTCGGACACTTTCCGCAAAAAATGGTAGCGAGAGAGCGAAATTTTGTTATTTGGTTTTTTTTTTTTAAGTTTGATTTTTGGCAGGCGAAAGTATATTTTACTAGTGAGCGATATTATTTTTGAAATATTAAAAAAATAAAATCCATGAAAAGCATTTTATGCAAGCTAGCGATCAGAAATTTACAAAGTTTTGGTGCTTCAGGTTTTTATATATCTCGTATCCCTCTTCTTATATTACCCTAATTTGCTTCTTAATATGTTCTCAGACACCCTGTTTTCAGTACAAAAATGGTTAACTAGTAGCAAAGCCTACAACTTCATGTAGTCTGCTCAAATAAAGATGCAGCTGAACATGAAATAGTACAACAGCATTGAACAGGTTGACATCCATGTTTGATGTCAGTTATAATTGATGTATTATAAAAATAAGGAGATGTGATATGATTGCCAATGAAACAACTTTCCACCAAAGTTCAAATG